TGCTTCTTTTGGGGCATCCCAGCGAACTGGGAGCACTTATCCGTAAAAATTTCAGAGTCATTTGCTTTACTTTCTATTCATTTTTTGTCCGATAGAAACTTATTTATAGAATACAAACGTTAAAACGCGTTCATTGACCTACTATCTTCATTAAATCCATTTTAACACATTAAATGGAAGAACGAAGACGTTCCACTGGTTTAATTCTAAGATTTTTCGAGTCAACGAGTTTTACAGCGTTGTTTTCTTCAATTCATACCTTCGACGCATCAAAACGGCGTTTTTGTCGTTTATCTGTATGCGCGGGTATTTGAAGTTATTCATTATAATTAGTGAACTTCTCGCATGCCTGTGACTAACTAGATTATATATTTGTTTATTTTACTTTGTGTTATCATTTGCTTTCCTAATCTTTTAGATTAGATGATCATCCATTGTATTTGACACACATATACCATGTCGAAAAAAAAAACATTTTTCTGATAAAATTTGCATTTTTATTGCCTTTTAACAATTGCTGACCTTTTTGCCATGATAAGATTACAAAAAGAAACGCAGTTTATTTATTATCACAATAATGAATATCGGCAATCATACTTATTAATATGATACACGTTTATTTATCTCAAAAACAGATACTTACACTTAAGACTGAAAAATTTTACTACGCCTTAGGAAACGGTTATAATTATTATCACAGAATTCTGTCACTTCAGAATTAATTTGTTACGATATGCAGTTAATCATTTTATTTGTGATCTAAATCAATTTGAAAATGAATTAATTGTCATTTATACTAATGACAAATTAAGATCATACAAAAGATACCTTTCAAACAGTCATGCCAATGATTACAAAAATATTTACGATACTTATTTCTTCAACAACATGTGAGCGTAGTTTCAGTAAAATAAAATTTATGAAAGCCATCCAAAAGAAATACAACGATTGATTCATAATTGTGCTCTGCATTATTTATTAACTATAAAAAGAGATTTTGAAAAAGTAATGAATGTTTTTTTTCGTAAAATCATACAGATATCGGAAAATTTTTGAGTTAAATATCATCAATAAAGAAATTGAATATTCTCATCACTATTCATTTTTTATCACTCATTCTCTACTAAAAATATACTAAAATATTAATATTAAACTTGACCTGCAATCGAGCCTCTCGGCCCCGTATATATATATCTCATCCTAAGCGTAACTTTTTCCGAAACTGTCGATTACTATTGTATTTTTTAAAACATGCACTTTCATGTATAATTGTCCTTCACCATAAAATATTCTTATTGTTATAACATTAATTGAAAAGAAAATCTTTTAAAAGAAGATTAATGTTCCAGATGAAACCTTCCATTATTATGATATTATGTTTAAAAGCATACACTTGCATATGTGATTGATATTTTGCACGCAATCTTGTGTTTGCTTTTAGATTTATCCTAATAATAACTTTGTGATATACGCATAATTTTTGCTGCGAAATAAAATTTAATATCTTAATATAATATATGGGTCAAACATTCTCAGTAATTTTTCGAGCGATATATTTTTGAAACCATTTAAGTAATTTCAATAAATAAGTAGTCATTTTACAGATGATTTTAAATTTACTTATTATGCAAAAATAAAGGTTCTAGCTTAAGAATAAGAGGGATATAAAATATGATAATATCATTAAACGTTTTTCAGAAACGTTTCTTTTTTATACATACAAAAATAAAAAAACAAAAAAAGTAAAAATGGAAAATCTGAACATTAGTGAATTTTATGTGGCGAAGTTGACAAGAGAAGTACCCGCGATATAATGATGCTCGCTTTATCTGGCTTCACACAACAAATCGTCCTATTCACACGCAGAACATATGTTTATATGCAAGACGAAAGAAATATGTTTCGTGTTCTCATTGTTCAAAAGTAAAGATTTTTTTGTTTTAGAACGAAAAACACATGTAGCAAAGTTTCTTTATTCACTTTCTCTTACTTCTTAAGTTCGAACCGTTATTTTTACACAATTAGTATACTTTTAAATGCTCTTCAAAATGACTATTTATTTGTTGAAATTGCTCAAGTAGTTGCAAATATATATCGATAGGAAAATTGCTGAAAACTTTTTTGCCATTTCTACACCAATTCGTTTCTGCAATATCATTTAGAACTGATCATTTATTATTATTATCAGAATTTTTCAATAATTCATTTTATTATCTAATCTGTAACTATTTTCGTCTTTCAGCATTTACAATATGTAACTGTTGAAATCAATAGATTCATACTTTTTTTCAAGAATCATGAAATTATTCTTTTTGATGTTTTGCATAGAGTATTCAAAGAAATATGTCTATTTCGAGGTCGGTACGAATAAAGCGACTCAGTTTTCAGAAAAAAGAAGTTGTTTCTGATAAATCACAATCCTATGATATATATAAACTTTAACAAAACCATCCTTTCTAAAACAAAAAACAGGCAGATCTTACAATTATAAGTAAGATGCATCATGAACGATTACTACGGTTATGAGCCGTTAGCCATTGATATGTACTGTGTCCTGTTCCAGTGTTTGAAGTAACCCATTTTTTAAAATCATTTATCTTACTAATTTGAAATTCTTCTAATGCTTTAAAGGCGATAAAAGTTTCTCAATTAGATTCAGCCCTACTATACATAATAAGCCATTGACTATACTCCTTAGTGAGTAAGTTTTGTATGAAAATGCTTGGTGACATATGGCTAAACCTAATAGCATCTTCTAAGACACAAATTCAATAGAATCCTATGAATGTAATACTTGTTTCTTATGAAGAACCATTAACAAGTTGTAAATTTCGTGACTTTTTGGATACGTCACTTATAAATCATTTTATTGAGAATATATCATAATCTATCAAAATAAGTTTGGAAATGATAAGTCTGAATGCATTGAAAAAACAATAATCTAAACGACAATTCGCTTATCATAATATTATGGTAGTTCGATATTTCGAAATGAGTACAAAACTATGTCTGTCTTAGCTTCAAACTATTATAATGCACTCTATTAATATTGACTCTCTACAAAATATATACATATTTATTTATAGACTCATTGCATTGATCATTTGATTATCTTTGCGTGTCATACTATAGTATAAGCCGGTTTTCAAACTGAACATGTGACTTCTAACATCTTAAAAGGTGGAAAAAAGACTTAAAAGAATGTCTTTTTGTGACAATAATTATTATTAAGCAAAATCAGTGTTTCAAATAAAAAAAACACACTATCACATCATTTGCTGATTTCAGTTGAATAGATGTCCTATCACATCTTGATTCTGAGATCATTGTATCGCAAAAAGAAAGCTTTTAATGTGCACGTCTAGAAAGAGAAACAAATTCAAAGAGAAAAAAAAGTATACAGAAAAAAAAATATAGAAAAAAAAACTGTTGACATATTACTATATTAATACTTCTCATCTTTACAAACTCGCATCAGTTCACGTAGGTATTATCCTTCTCCCCACATTAATTAATCGAACTTTTGATTCGAAGTCTAGTTTTAAAAAGACTTTAACCTTGGTCTAATAAAGTGAATTTCTGAAAGCACCAAATGCTTGTTTAAAACGGTAGAAGTGTAGTTGATACGTATTTTTAGTATTAAAAAGTGATAGCTTAGATATTTTCGAAGAAGTATTAGAATCAGTTATAAAAATTTAATATTTAATATTGATATGAGATGATTCAATGTATGTACTTCAAGTTAAAAGTTCTGCATCGATGCTATGAGTATCCTCAAGATATTGTTGACTTTCAGAAAATATTGCAAATTCACAACACATTATAAGATTCATGTTTTTTTATGAAATCTTGTTAATACAATAGTGTCCAATATTTTAAAAGAACAAGATGTTTGAAGCACCACATAACGAATCTCTTCCTGAATTATTAAATCACATTACAGTTCAAATCAGCCGTTCTCTGGCGGTTTTTATTTTCCTGTTTGGTTTTGTCGGAAATATTCTCAATATTCTTGTTCTCTCCCAACGATCTTATCGTTCTAATTCAAGTGCTTGGCTTTTTATATCTTTATCCATTGTTAATCTTATTTCTCTTATATCTGGCCTTGGTACAATAATGATTGGTGGTTGGACGAAAAATCCAACCGATTATATTGGAGTGGTTTGTAAACTTCGTGCTTTTTTTGTATTTTCAACAAGAACAATCTCTACGTGGTTAATAGTATTAGCCACTATAGATCGATGGCTTTTATCAAGTATCAGTGTTCGTCGTCGACAGAAAAGCTCATTGAAGAATGTTCAAAAGTGGACCGTAGTTATTATCGTTCTTTCAATTCTTCTCTATTCTCAACAATTGTATTGTTATGAAGCCAATCTTATCGACACTCCTTTGAAATGTTATGGTAAAACAATTGTATGTCGTTATTGCACTGATTTATCACTTGCTATAGTTACAGTATCAGCTCCGTTAATTCTCATGGTTTTATTTGGTTCACTAATTATTTCAAATGTACGTCAATCTCAACGTCGTATTCAAACATTAGCATTACGGAATGTCGCATCTACTACGAATAAGTCGTTGCCATCAAATGCTGAAAGTGCAGAGAGAAAATTCAAACAGAAAATAGAACATAGCCTTCTTCGAATGCTGCTTTCGCAAGTTATTCTTATTGGTATCTTCACCCTTCCATTGTGTCTTGACAAATTTTATTCATCAGTCTCTGGTGACAATGGATCTCACGTGGAATTGGCCATTAATGCCTTCGTATACGATTTAGCCATTTTGGTTTACGATATATCGAATGGAATACCTTTCTATATTTATACATTATGTGGTGGGATTGTGTTTCGAAAAGCATTGTATGATTTTATTATGTTGACGAAACGAAAATTTCAATGTCACTAAAGCTATGTATTTTCAGTGTGTAAAAATGTATTCGTAATAAATTGTCAATTACTCATGAAAATTTAATTTTAATCTTTCTCTTCTACTAACATTGTTTTCATTCAGAAAATCTAATTTACGCGGAATCCAGGATAGAACATGGGTACAGAGAATACTGAGATCCGTTTTTTCCTCTTAGATAAATCACTCACCATATTTTTTTGTAAAATCTCATTGATATGATACATAATCGTAATCTTCTTGTAAAACTTGTTAGTGTATTGAGTGTAACCAAATGCGTATATTCTAGTTTTCTCATGAAATGGAAAGAGATAATTCTAAACAATGATACATAGATACTTATATTACATCTCTGCGGGACAATCATATCTTATGAAACTATTTTCTTTATCTATTCCAAAAACTGAAGAATGAAATGAATATTTCCACCATATTCTTTAGAAAGAATTTAAAAAGCTTGACAATATAACGTATATTCTTCGATTTTGTTTCGTTCTGAGAATTCTTTTATTACATACTGTAATTCGGAGATGCGTTAAATAGGATTTTTTTTCGATTTCCTTTATATTTCATTGCATCTTCAAGTAGGTTTTAAATATAAGTACAGAATAACCATTATTTATTATCTTTTAGGTAATTTATTCGACGATTTATTGTTTTCACACACTTTCTTTTATTGTAAAATTAATTGAATACACGCATATATGAGCAAAATCAGGAAAAATGGAAAATATCTTCCTTTCATTGGCCGTGATTCTCTACAAGGGTTATTTTTCTCAATAAATTCTTTTAGCACAGATCTATGTAAAAGTATCTTTGCTATCATCCTAACCATTGATTAAACTGAGAAACAAGTCTGTTATGCATGTTCATTATATTAACAGCGAATATCAACACATATATCTCGATAGATTTTGGAAAATTAAAATCGTTAAGATTGAGAAAATCATTATCAACAAGAGTATTACGAACATGTTTCTTTTGGTTATATTTTTCTGCACCTCGCTTGGCGTTTTCCCCTTTTTTTCACTGCTACCAAAAGCTCATCAAGAAACACTGAGACTTAAATTTCGAGTAAATATGAGACTCGTTCATCAGTGTTCCCTTGTACCAGAACAAAATCTATTAGTGGTAACGAACAAGAATCCTCTCGATTTCTATGTTAAAAAAATATAGAAAAAGTTTAAAGTAACCATGTAAATCTGATCTAAGAGATTCCTTTTTTTAATGATATTTTTTTGTGGAATGCTTTTAACAAAAGTCAACGAGACAATCTAGGTCATTTTTTCGGATGGGAGAAGAGTGAAAAAATTGAGAAATAAACATGAGACTCTACTGCTTAAATGAATTGATTGCGTTAATTTAATTCCCCGGTGCGCAATAATGTGCCTTGCTTCCTTTTCTTTTGCTTTGGTTGTTTCTTTTTCTCGTTTTCCTTTTATTTCTTTTCATGTTCATCATTTTATATACCATTTTTTCCTTTCATTTACTCTTCGTGTTGATTTTGCTTCTTCTTCCTTCTTTTCTGCTTGAGTACTCCCTATGTAGCCGGTTTTTCCAAAATAATGGATATTATAATGCATTATTTTCCAATAGAAACGCAATGAATGCAACTACACGATAATACGGCCTATTTCATGCACTATAATGCGTTTTGTATAAAATCATTGAAATGTATTATAATGCATGAAATACATTGCATTATCATATAATTGTGCGCATTATGTTTTAAAATTCAATTTAATCAAGGGAGAAACAGTGAACTCCGGACTCCACTAAGCCATTGGCTCTGTTTAACTCGACTTGACTCCAGGAGACTCCACGACACTAAAAGACTTGTGAAGTCAGGTGAAGTGTCGAATTCCGAGAAGATTTTTCAATCAGCCAAACTTTATTCAGGAAGAAGAAAAGTACGTTCAGCCAAATAGATAATTATCGGCTGGTCCGTGTAACACCCCACTTCAGGAATTAAGTATTTATTTCAAAATTCAAAATCAACGTTTATGCTACGCTGTAGAACACACTTGAAAGTGTAAGAAAATGTATTTTGTTATTCGGAAAGCTATTTGTGTAGATCTTTAAAAATATATACACTAAGAATTAATTACCAAATTGTCGGTTGCAGTTTTTTTGCCTTACTTTAAAATCACTCACGCATATTAATGTCTAGCTGCAAATCCCGATGTCAAATATTTTGTAAACTATCAAATATGGCGTTTCTTTTGGCAAAAAAAATGTTGCCCTTTCCTCGGCACTGAGATGTTCTGAAAATAAAATTTGACCAGCGTTACTGTGACTGCGTTACGAAAAAGATCTTATTTGAAAATTTCGATGAGTCCCTCACCGAATACCAGTAAACAAACTGGTAGACCATTGGAGTAGTGTCACATATCCAAGATTTTGGAGATGCCACCGCATCTCCCGCGGGAGATGCCGCATCTCCAGCGGGAGACGCGGCACCCACACTCGGGAGATGAGGTCATTCACCACTGCAGATGTAAGATCTCCTTTAGAGAGACGCATTCCCCACACCCACACTCGCATCTCTCGCGCGAGATGCGGCATCTCCCGCAGGAGATGTGGTGGCATCTCCAAAATCTTGGATATGTGACACTGCTGGACCATTGTTAACTTTTCACGACGGTTCTGATGCACTACGTTTTGCCCCAGAATATTTCATATTGAGATAGATAAATGTAACGCTATTGTGAAAACCCGAGTTTTTGAACTATTTTCAATTTATATAGTGAAACAATAATTTCAATAATAAAAACGTCAACTAGAGACTGGATAGAATTCAAACCTAAATTTTATCTTCGATTTGTTTATCTATCGGGAAATCTTTCTGAAAATTCCTAACTTTTGTTTATTTTTCGATGTTTCTGGCGATGATTAACATTAAACATACTAATCCGTGCTTATTTTCTACGTACTGTCAAAAAAATACTACAAATATTAACAGTGCACATTTACAGTTGTTAGTACTGGTTAAGCTTTGTTTTTCTTTGTATTCTTGTGTTTAGGCAGGCAAAAAAAGGTATGAAAATGTGTGCAAAACAGGGTGTTTATTCATGTGAACATAAAAAGCGAAAAAAAATAGTCAGCAAAAAATAACTATTCATTTCAAAGTATAATGTATCTCACTGTTTTTGGATCAATTTTGATAGGAACATCACAATCACTTGCGTTATTTGTCATTCAAGAGACAAGACCCAAGCGATCGAAATATATTGAAATTTGATTGTTTAGTATTTGACCGACCAGGCAAATTCTTGCTCGAGGTTTTCGGAAATGAAATTCTGAAAGTACTTCTCTTTCGACTTACACTTTTGATACGACTACTGTATAAAAAAATTCTTCTCTTTTGATCTGTGCAAGATCGATATTCCTAGGTTTTTCCGTTCGAGAATTATAAAACTTTTCCTAAGAGCCTCGGGTTTCAGCCAACAGACCTTTGATCAAACGGAAAAGCAGCTAGGTACCCTGTAAAAAGAAACGCAGAATAATCAACACTTGCTCTTTAATTTTTTTTCATAAACCCTTAAAGGGTTTATGATCGTAAAGATACATCAATATTCAAAGGGTATATAAAGCTTTTAAAAGGGTTTTGTATAGCATATTTTGATTCAAAGGGTTTATTATTAAACGAATATGGGTAGACTGATGTACGTTTTTGCCAAAACAGTTTATTATTTAACAATCAGGGATAGATTAATGTACGGTTGACGAAAAGGGTATTTTATTTCACGGCTAAGGGTTGATTATTCAATGCTTCCAGAAGCAGAGTTTATTGTAATACCTCCAAGGATAGATTAATATGCGATGTCATCAAATGGGTTGATTGTTCTCCGATTTTTGAAGAAACTTTCATTGTGATACTATTAATGGTAAACTAGTATAGGTTATCACTAAAAGGGTTCATTTTCCAACGAAGAAGGGCTGACATTGATGTACACTATAACAATGAATCGTATAAGAAGCTGCTTTTTCACTTGACAACAATCCAGCGACTTTTCAAAGTTTAAATGGTATTTCGTGAATTCTCAAAGATTTTGCGAGTCGAAAAAAATTTTTGCGGTATAGGTTCAATATTCTTTGCTTTCATTGAAAACGTTTATTGTTACATCCATCATGGCAGTTCACTCCACGACTTTAGCGAAAGAGTTTAATATTTTAAAGCCGTGATAAGATTAAGATTAGGTGTCGCTTAAAAGTATTATTCAATGTCAAATGGTAGATTCATCGACTGACTCAACAGATGTGTTTATAAGTCAAGGTTTATTTGTTTGTGAGAACATGAAAATTAAAATAGTAGAGGATACTGTTACAAAGTATATAATAAAGGATGGTTCACAAGTTTCGACCCATCTCTATAAATTGACGTTATCTATATTAATACATATATAGATAGTTGATTGAAATATACAGTTTTGTAGAGAATGAGAAGAGCTATCATCTGAAAAAAAAATGGTTGAAATTGTGTCGTAGTTTTGAAAAGTTATGATCATTTTATTCATGATGACTAAGCATTTAACACGTTGCGTTTTTGCAAAAACAAAAAAAATTCTTTAATGTTTGAGTCATTTAAGTCGAGTGAAACATTGTTTTCTACATGTTTTTACTAGATATTTTCATATGATTCGATAAAGTTCGACAAGCTCTACAAGAATATGAATATCAAAACTAATTCTAATGCTGTTTCCAATACAAAATTTGGGGGAAACCAGAAAGACTAATAAAAATCTCACATATCTTGGATTATAGAGTATGCTTGTCTTTCGATAACTCTAGCTGATCGACTGCTAATTTATATTTCGAGATGCAGCGTCACATACTGAAGCTGAAAATAACCTTTCCGATCTTCATAAACAGACGACACAGTCGATCAGCCGACGTTATTGAAAGTTCAGCATACTCTCTCTAATGCAAGATATATGAAATTTTTATTACTCTTTCTGATTTCCTTCAAGTTTTGTATAGGAAACAGCATCAGAATTATT